CGCTCGTATCGAAGACCCACTCTATCGCTAGTCGCCTTGGACACCAAGAAGGTTCAATCTGAAAGAGAATAGAAAGGCGGGGGCTCAGCTCATCTGCGCAGAGGAAATAGGTTCCGAAAGCCACCTCCGATCGAGCTTTCTTATGCTTATGACTGGCATTCTCGGGGAACTCTTCAGGACACCTACAAAAACGAGTCTATTTGGCCAGAAAGACTGATTTTTTTGGTTATTCGCCCACGTATTTCAAGAAGAGCCTTATATATTACTATATTACGTGCGAGTGAGGAGTTTCCCAAAACAAATACTGGGATTTCCTCAACCAGAGTAGGAAGGTTCCCCGAAAGACTCAGTGCTGCTTCCAGCGCCAGGCTCATGTGGAAAGGCAACCTCTGGAATCTCCCACACTTCTCTAGTCTTGTACGTGAATCAAAGAAATAAGTATTTCACTTTCGTCCCTGCGGGATTTCTGACCTTGAATTCTTTCTGGGCACCACCCGCCTTCGGGAATATCCGTATACTTTTTTGAAAAGAATGAAGAATTGTAGCATGATTCGCCTACCTGGACTGATACGAATAAGGGTAGCTGACCCGTAGAAAGAAGGAAAGCCCAAAGGTAGTCGATATCCTCTGTACAGGGTAGGGCTTTTCACGATGGCACCGAAGCCCATATCTGATCTGGAACTTGAGAAAGCCTCCCGGGCCGGGTTGACTACGAAAGGAGTGGCGACGGCGCCTAACCCTGAGATGTGGATCATCCACCTCTTTTAGATCTTTCACCGCGTCGCTGAGATTCAATGATTCCATCATAGGCCCTTTCTCTACAGCCTAGAGATCAATTAAGCTTTCGGGGCTCTGTAGAGATGGGAGCGGATTCAGTGAAATAGGAGGAAAAAGTGGTTCATCCGGCTATTCAAGGGATATTCTAAGAGGAAAGTACGCTATTCGTCGGTGAGGGATCTATGGTAGCTCGTGTATCTCTTAGCATCGATGGCAGGCCTACTTTTTACAGCTTGAGACTGACTTTGAAAGGTTGGAATCCAGGAATCGTGGACTAGAGCCCTTATTCTAGGTCGATGTGCCACCAATACATTCTACCTTTGAAATCTGGCTTTACCTGGGCCGCTTCTCGACCGAGATCCCTTCGATGGATGTCACCGTGCTTGTCTCTTCTCAACTGGATTTGGCTTCTATTTAAGACTTATTGAATATTGAATCTAACTACTAGCATCGGTCCCTTCCACTCGGCAAAGACCCCTCTTTCGTTCGAGCAAAGGACGCCTAACCTGAAAGAGGCTCGGCGAGACCTCGATGCGAAAGAGCTAGATCAGTAGTTTATCTGGGACGAATTCCTACTTACTATTTATTAGTAATGGTAACGAAGGTATGCCAAGGGAAGCTCGGGCCAACCTATGTCTCAGTAGCTGCCCGAGAAAGGACCACTCAATCCAGACAGGTTCTCGCAACTGCCTTTCAAACAGGACCTCGAGAGGCAAGCCATGGAAGTACCGCTAGGTAGGGAGCGAGCTCCTACTTCATTGGATGTCTGATCAAAATGGGGGCTTCCAACTGAGATTCATGAAGAGAAGAGAGGACCCGACGAGCCGTGTCGAGCCTATGATATGCCCGAGTGGAACTGAAAAGATCAAAAGACCCGACAGAGCAGGAAGTGACCAAGCAAGCAAGAAAACGGGCGTTAGTCACGCGCAACAAGCCAGCTACGAATAAAGTCGCTCTAGCGCGAAAGCCCCCACTTAGTTTAAGGCGTTAGTATGCGCAGCCGTTTTCTTGCTGCAGCCGTTTGATTGCGTAGTTTTCTTGCCCCGCCCCGTTTTCTTGCTCGTTGCTTGCCCTATTAGTCTAGGCGAGCAACTACGTACCTTTACAGTCGAGCTACCTTCGTCCCTGAAAATCCCTAAGATTTGAGGAAGTCACAATCAATCCAAAGCAAATCGACGAGTCTCACTTCTTTTTTATCTTTCTTAGTTAGAACTACATGTTAGAACCGGGAAGGAAGACTACAAATTGACCAGGAATGACAAGAAACGGTGTTCAGAAACAGGCTGAACACCCTATTCCACGGTCTCAATAGTCTCGCGGATGAGACCATCTCTTGCACACGACGAGCAGGGGTTGAAAGCTTCGAAACTCTTCAATGACTAGCCATCTCGAACATTTAAGATGGAGCAGCCCGTTCCGGAAAGCTAGCTTCATCACGAGTAGCTTCACCACAGCAAATAGAATAAGCCGCGGGCTTTCCTTTTATAGAAGGGCTTTGGCTTCTGCCAATGCTGCTAGAGGGTGTCTTTGTTTATGTAACTTCCATCTTATACCGAAGTACTGATACAAGCTCAGTCCCAAAACTTATTTGGCCTTTGAGTCCTTCTCGTGCCCCGAGCCCCAAGGGTAAAAGGCATAAACGGGAATCAGTGGAAAGAAAGAATATGTAGTTGTCGGAGATGCTTTGTTGTGCTTGTCTGATTGGGAAAGAGATCTGAGAGTTCCGACTTCGATAGGTCCTAATTCCACCAAAGCAGGCATGACGCCCATTGTCACTTCCTTTTCCGTTTTTGCGCAAGGGATTTATCACTTACTCGTTAGAGTAAGGGGAGTAAGCGCTTACTTGTAACTTGTTAGAGTAAGGTTTCTAAAACTGATAAATCAATATCGTCTCTCCCTAATCCGATAAGCCTGACCATGGTCCAAAGTTATAACAATCGGGAAAGCCTTTGAGCCAGCTCTTAATCTTCTTATGTGATTTGCTTGTAGAGGTAGAGCTATTGCATCTCCTTAATCAGTCGATTTCTTCTCCCTTCTACTTTAGTGATCGAAGGTCCATAAGCAGTCTTGGTTGTTGCTGCTTCCGAAGAAAGGAAAGTCTACCTTATCTCCCCGGAATGACGTTTTCGCTTCTTTTTTATTGGACTGTCTCCGCTTCTTGAGTGAGTTCAGTGGGTCAATCTCATACGGGATTTCAACTAGGCACTTGCACATGCGATTAACGGCTGTTGGATCGAATTCCCACTTTTCCAGGGATCGAACTCTAACTCGATTGTTTGGCATTAAACTCTAGCACTTGGCTTTGCCATTGAGTAAGCGCTTGAAGTTAGCTCTTTGCATTGATAAATCCGGTCTAAGCTAGGCTGCAAGATAGGGAGAGTCTGAGTTCAAACCTTTATCTTTTATTCTTCTTACAGGAAATGAAAAAAAGAATCAATCCTCTAACTATCGGGAGAGCGATTTTATACCTTCATCTCCTTCTTTATATAATATAGTCGCCATGTTCCGATCTGTCGGCCGATTTCTGAAAAGAATAATCATTCTTTCAGTCACAGGAAGTAGTGTTTTGCTAGTTTCACACTAAGCTCCTACGTTCCTACCGTAACTTTAGCTTTGCCTTAGAGAAAGAATTCCCCCTTGCTTAGCTCGAGTTCTCAAACCTCTCCCTATGGCCGCTTCTAACAAGCAAGTTCCCATCCTCTCCCTGATATGAGGAGGCTATGGAGTTATCTGAATATGCTTTAGCTGTAACAGCAGTCGAATGAGACTTTTTAGTTCCTGTAACGGTCTTCGTTCTGGTAGGAATCATTCTCAGATCGATATAGAACTCATCCTCTCCTTACTTTATTCGATAGGGGCGAGGTCTTTCCCATCCTGTCCCTATCGCTGCTATCTGATCTGCTATCGCTCCTTCCTCTTCGAGTAATTCATTATGGCTTGTGCGCAGAGGGAAAGAACTCTAATGTCTCTCCCATCCTGTCCCTATCGCTCGACTCACCTCGTACAACATTCCATTCCTTACCCCATTCCATTCATTCCTTAAGGTTGCTTCCTTTACTAGTTATCTTTCAAAAGACAATAAAGCATAGCATAAGAACTAAAAAGAAAAAAGTAAGGGAGTCAATAGCACCGGAGTCGAGAACAGGGGCGTAGCGAGATAAGACTTTTAACGCTTTCTTCATTGCGCAAGAATTCATATATTAGTAAGGAACTGATTGATCTGTAATAAACTGTCTTAGTCTTACTAGCACCCGTAGTAGGAAAACTTAGAGGAATGGGTAGCGTCTTTACCTTCTTTCATGATGTAGTTGCTTATCCTTTAGGGAAGCATTTCACTCCTTAAAGAGATGTGGAACTCTTTGACAGCAGGAACTTGAGACTCGGCTTAGTGTCTTACGTGATAAGGCCTCTCTTTAAGCATCAAAACAAGAGTTACAGGAGGCGAAGTAGGAGTAGGAGAAAAACAAGTTCCAGCACAAAAATAAGCTCTTCGATAGGTTGGGCTAGGTTGTAGCGCTCCTTTCTAGGCTACGTTCGACTCGTAGAAAGAAGATTCCGAGAAAAAATCGCCTGGCCGATGTCACATCAAAATGATTAAGACGATTCTTTCTCCCTTCGATCATTATCCACTTCAACTAGAAAGAACTAGGAGAGGCCCCTAGACTAATAAGCGGAGATGCCCTTATCAGATAAAGGCGAAGCGAGAGGAAGTGAAACGAGCGATAGCGAGAGGATTGACTCCCCAGCCAGAATCCGAATCTTAAGCTTAAACAAAATCATTCCCGTCCTCAGCACCCGAATCATTCCTATCTGAATCTCCATCCGCCGCATTTGAATCAGAGTACGGAGGTGCGGCAGGTGGTATCGTATATAAGATAACTCTTACTTTTAGGATAGGAGTGCTTCGGCTTCGAAATAGAATAAGTGGTTTTCAAGGCAACTAGATATTTCGTAAGAGAAGAAAGCCGAACCTCTGATCGGCCTAGACACATAAAAAGAGTCTTGGCGTCGAGAGCTATTCCGTAAGTAACTCAGTGCATGTAAGGCTTGGAAAAAAAAATGAAATATGAACACCCGTGCAGGTCGTACCGAAGTTTGAGCGAATAAGAAGGGGTCATGACTCTCGTTCACACTGTTCGTCCTAAATTACGTCCATTTCTCTATTCGTTATTAATCTTGCTCACTTTGTTTTACTTTCTTTCTCTGTGTCTGGGTTCAGTTGAATTCTTTCATGCCTTACTTTCAAAGGCTGGGGTGTCGAGCCCTATCTTGTTTCTTGCTGAGAATTGGATGCTCCAGCTGGATTGCATTTTCTATATTTTTTTCTGTGCGTGTGATTTCCGGGGAAACCCACGATTTTGCTCATTCTATGTTGCCTGCCAACCCTCCGCAGGAAGGAGGGGAGGCTCCCAATCTCCCCATAGGGGTCATGGGGCCGGCAGCCCCTAGTATTGACTTCTTAAAAACAAAAATACTCCTCGTTTTCCGTTCCATTTCGCGGGGCCGTAGAAAACCGCGAACCAACTTTTTAGCCGATGTTCAGGCGGCTGGAAACGGCTTCCCAGTTTTTACGCCTGAAAATCGCTCAGGTTCTAGAGGAGCTTTCGAAAAACCCGGAGCGATGGAACAATTGCGGTCACAAAGCCGCCGTCGAATTAAAGGTTTTGATCAACGATTGAGAGAGGGAAAGAGGGCTCCTTTCGGAGACATTGGATAGGACAGCTTTTTAGTTCTCACCTGTTAGAAGCGAAAGAGGAAGGTTTCTTTTGGGAGATTTCGTTTGTCGTGAGAGCTTTCAATTCATACATAGAGTCCTCATTCATTGATGGGAGAGTCCCCACCGGTCAGCGATTTGGTTTTATACATTACACAAGGTGGCACGGACGAGTACTAATTTAATTGGGTACGCAAAAGCCTAACTCAGCTAAGCTAATAAATGCTGCATAAGAGAGTGGGAGGCCGGCCCCTGCCCATCTGGAGGTGCACACCCATTTAGGAACATATGCAAAAAAGGGGTAAAGAGAGAAGTCAATGGAGAACTACCAAATCCAATGACTTTGATTTGTTCGTACCATTCTGTCATCGATCACTGCTGGGTCGGTTGGTGAGTCACCCCCAAAAAAGCATCGAGAAAGGTCAAGCATATATGTTTTATGAAATGATCAGCGGTCTCATTTATGCTATGCCCTGCATCGTGTTCGTGTGTGTTTATTGAGCTTTCTTCACTTCAGCGCCATGCGCTTTGCTTCGCTTTATAGAAGAGAGAGACCGTTGTTTTGTTTTGAGAGTGAAAAGCAAGCGCAAGCGATAGAAAGGATAGTCCCTCGCGCGTTCGCGCGAAACTACTATAGGTGAGATCATTAGTGAAAGAAGGACCAACGACGATCCTATCCTAAAGGAGCAGGAGGAGTCAGTCTTCTTTGAAGATCGAGGAACGTAGTGTCGGACAATTATGCCATTCGGAAGAAGTCTTCTACAGAGGGAAAGCAGCCTGTTACGAGTAAGTGGAGAGGAAAGATCTCCAGAGATTCTTATCTCATTCCATTCCAGTGGCTCGACCAGTAACCAATGGCGAAAACTAAAAAATCCATGGTTTCCCGGTAGAACCCCATTTCGCCCAAGTTGTTGCGAAACCGGAAAAAAGAAGCGGTTTTTCGCACAGCTTGCTCATAGTGCGGGTCCCACTTGTATATTGTATTTGGCCGAAGAAGCATCGGACAGGTTGGAGTTATTACCTTCTTTGGACTCTATGGACCAAGATCTGCTTTCATTATATGGGCAATATCGATCTACTTTAGTAGATCATATGGATGTAGAAAAAGCTTCTGATTTTGATGAATTGGAAACATCTCTTTTCCATTTTTATTTACCTAGTTCATATCTTTGTTTCGTGTGTTCCCGGGAGGAATTCGATCTCTTCAATCTCGGGATACCACCTAAATAACTGCGGCCAGAGAGTCAAATAGGTCGGGAAGAAAGAGTCTGAGGTCGGGTTGGACGACATACATCTTGGTTGGTTCCACCACCAACTTTCTTTATGTTAGAGTAACTGGGAAAGCAGAGATTCTTATTATATTAGTTCAAATAGGCCTAAGATTGAATTGAAGTTCCCCCAATGGGGAAGCTGGAAGCGAGGGACTGATAAGGTGCTAGGCAAATCTCCATCTTTGCTGAGTGTAGTTCTGGGGTATACTACTTCCCCAGAACTACACTCAGCAAAGAAGGATGCGTATTCCACCTCAGATGGTAGAAGGGGCAACTCAGCCTAGTCTTTCCCTTTGGGCTAGGAACCGGCTCAAAACGCAGTCCTCCAACAGAATCAATGGCATTCCCTTCTTACCAGTCCTTACGAACTGTACATTGCTTACCCGGTTGAATAGCAGAAACCTAGAGATAGAGTTCAAGATACATCCAGGGTAGAGACACTTAAGATAAGACAGATATCAGAAAATAAAAGCCAGGGTTTGACTCCAGTCTACTAAGGCTGACATCAATCATGGTACAGAAGCTGCTGAGGGAACATACTAAGAGTTTGGAGGATGATATGAAGTTGTCGGAATTATTAAAGGATGAGATGAATGAGGATGCAAAAACTTGCTCCAAGAGAGGTCATTTTGCCAGAAATAGAACTCAGGGTCAGTCAAGAACACACAACCACTGAATCAAGGAAGGACCTCTGATCAACATTCTTTGATCCAAGGTACGATCCAACTTAATGATTCTATTGTAAAAGCAATCTTTGATTCGGGCGCTTCGCACTCACTCATCACCTTGTGGTATGGTCTTGTGCAGAAGAAGTGTCCCCGGTCAAGTCTTTAAGGACAACGTTGGTGATGATGTTCTCATCGGAAATCGTCGACTTTCCGCAGTTTACCATTCATTGTTAGATGGCTTAGGTCTCACTATTTCTGTGAGTAAATCATTGATGTCTAAGACTGGTGCGGTGGAGTTTGCCAAGCGGTTCTTGATCAAGGTACTAACTGTGGATTTTTCACCCATCTCAGTTCGTTGTCTAGCCAACTACTATCATCCTCATTGCCTATGTGCCATCGAGATGAAGTACCCAATGAAAGAGATTCTCTTAGTCTTCAGTGTACTCAGTGAGAAGCTAAGGATAACCACTCCTTGACTTGTCTTTTCGATTGTTCCTCATTTTGAATGCTTTCAATTGCTCTCTTTTTTTCCTACGTCCAGTCTACTCTTTTTTCGCAATCAAGGTCCTTGTTAAAGGCCCAGTAAGTAGTAAAGGCCTTCAACACTCTCCTGAACCTCTTTATTTAGGGCCTTCACTCTATTCTAAAAAAGGTAACCTCTCTATCCTACTCTCTTTGAAAGCTAAGCCCCTATGCTATCCCGGAACTCCTATAGTTGAGTGAGGGGCCAGAGCTGCTAGTGAGATTGATGTCAGTCCTATATTCGTTCTTGGCTTAGCCCCTAGGTTCGCTTTCTGCCTCTGAAAAACGTATTCACATCTACTCCCAACGCCCAAGCCGCCAAGGGTTCTCGTGGGCACTTACCTTTAGACGCTGCTTCAAGCCAAAAGTGAAGACTATCTATGGGGAGAGCAGCACCTTCCTCTAGAAGTCGAGTAAGGCACCGTCCTCCCGGGAACAAGAGCAAGCCTTCTTTACCTTTACAAGGTAGTGTATCCTACCTCTTCTAAGTCGGGGGCATCCTGAGCCGGAAAAAAACCTCAAGCTACTAAGCGTACCAGGTCTCGTCCCATATCTTAAGGTAAACCCTGTTTTTGAGCTTTAGCTTGAGAAGCACGGGTAGGTGCTTACATCTGATGGATTGGGCAGTTCTACACTAATCCGCTTTTCTTATATTTAGAAGCACTCGGGAACTAGCTTCGCAACTCACCCCGAAAAGGATAGAATAGCTCGACCGGTCCTATCTCTACACATCAACTCATGGTACTCCCTGGGCCCCTAACGGGTTAGCGACAGCATTCTCGAGGGCTATTCTTCTATTGAATCAGCGGGTGATTCGGCGAATGAAAGAGCTAGCTCTTCTCGCTTAGGTAGCTAAACCCGGGTCTCACTGCCTGAGAATGTCTGACTTCTTTCTTAAGGGGGCCTTAGAACGCGTTTTCAGGTCTGAATGTGTGACCCTTGACACTCCTATACCTCCGATGGAGAAGGCAAGATGGAGCAAGGGATTCAGGATTCAATTGCCTTGACCTCTGTCTCCAGAGTCGAGAGCTTTCAAGGAGCTGTGTTTCTTGTAGGGGAAAGGGTGAAAAAACAATCATCTTAGGGGTCTGACACACCCATCAGGTCAGATCAAAGAGGGTTGGTGTGGCACCTAAGGCAAAACCTGAACTCACATACTTCGGACTCGCCCTTCGGAGAATCATGAAAAACATGGGATACAACTTTGAGTACCCCAGGGGCTTGAATGGGGGCAAAGGCATAACCGCTACGCCCCTTAAGCCTTACCTAAGAAAAGACCTAGAGTAAGAAAAGGAAGCCTCATAGACGTGTCCTTGCCTCTGTTCAGTTGTTGTTCCGGTCGGTTTACGAATCAATCAAACGAGCCGCAGACGCCAAACCAAAGGCTTTTTCAAAGCATCCGAATTAGCATCAGTAGACGTAGAAAAAGATCCTATTCCTTCCTTATCTGATGGGGCCTTTGCTATCGCTTGAAACTTACTTCCTATAGGGAAAGGGTAAGGGAAAGTACCGAAAAGAAAGGGAAAGTCTTGTCTTACGATTCTTCCTAATCCATTCAATGAAAAAGGCGCATGCCCTCTTCTGTTTTACATGGTGCTATTCCTTTTCAGGTCTTGTTTCCTGACAGACAAACTCCTATTTCATTTATCCCCTCTTTTCTGCCTTAATGTATGTCAGAAGCAGACGGGGTTTTTCTAAACTTTCAAGATTTCTATGTGAAGGTTCGCCGGTCATCATACTATATTTCCCGCTGCTTTTTCCTCGCTTTTAAGCCCGATAAAGGAAGTTGAAAAAGTGAAGTGAAGTGAGCCCCATATAGTAGGGAAAGAAGCAAGGGACTTAGAGATAGATAGGGGCGCACTAGCGCAAAAGCTTCGATAATAGAATGTTGAATTTCGTTCTATTTAGCACTATAGGTGCTTATAATGCGTCTTCTAGACATCATGTGGAGAAGAATCTTCCATATGAATGGTTAACGTTGGAAAAGAAGTAAGAAAATCGCTGTTTGCTGGGATCGGAATGAGGCAAGATAGAAAGACCTTGAAAGAGGGATTGCTACTTCCACTTTCAGCCTAGGAAGATTTTAGTCTTCCTTAGAAGACTGTTCCCTGTGAAAGATGCGCTAGCCTCCGCGCAGAGAGAAAGAAGAGGGTCCAAAAGAGATATCTATCGTTAAAGCGCTTTCTAGAAGCCTTTATTTTAGTTTAGTAAAGGCTATTCCTGAATACGTAGTAAGAAAGCGCTAACTTGTATATGTTAGAAAAGTGAACTGCTGCATTCCGTAAAGCAGTACTTAGCTTCAGTCTTCACAGTCCTAGGCGCACTAGACTAGAATGGATAGCACAGGTCGGAGGTGAAGCTTCTACTTAGACCTTGAATTCCTAACTCCGCTGAAGGTTAAGGAAGAAATCGTATCTTTTCAATATCCGGTAAAGAAGGCTCCAATAGTACCGGTGAGTCGGGCAAGTAGGTAGACTATCCAAAAAGTGTGAGAAATCGATCGTAAAAAAAAAGAAGTAGGTTCAAACGTGTTACCGCTTCCGGAATGGATTTCTTTGAGACAAGAAAAGATAAGGGATTTTGCTTTCCCAGCCGTTGCCCTTGTCAGAGAGATTCCTTATTTTCTTTTAATAAGAGAATTATGACCTCAACCTCACTCAAGGGATAGAAAGGGGCGATGAGCTCAGTGGAGGAGAAGCCGTCCTGATGAAATAGAAAGCCCTAGCTATGAGTTACTCCAATCTAGCCGTGATGCGCGAGGGCCAATATTCAAATGAAAGCAAGGGGCTGATTGCCCTCATGGGGAAGGGATGAATACGAGCTGTCGGAAGAGCTGCTCTCTCAGAAGCAACCAATCCAAGAATTTCTTGATTTGGTAGAGTACCAGTCACAACACTAGAACCAAGTTAGGTGAGCTTGAATGCATCGGTCAGAACGGGGAAAGCTGCTCTTAGAGCGTACTCCTTCCGATCTAGGCGTATGGTTGAATCTATCCTGACTTTCAAGTAGTGCTTGATTGAGGGATGAACCCGAATCCGTACTTTCCGGTACTTTTCCTACTCCCTTTTCCTCTTTCAAGTGGGTTGAACTCTTTCTAAGGCAAAAGGTGAGAACAGACAGTTCTTCTATTGAACTTAAAAAAAAGAAAACTAGGAATGCGAACCTTACTCTCGGGGCCCATTTGAAGTTGAAGATCTCCGAGCATTGCGCTTAGGAAGGTTTTTCTCAATCCATCTTCCCGGCTGACTGAATTGAATGCTTCAAAGTTTCATTGGCGCTTAATAGCCTGTAGCAGAGTTGAATTACGGTATCCCCTTCCCTCTAGGCTAACTGAACTCCCCTTTTCGAGGGAGAGAATAAAGAGATGACTGACAGCCAAAGGCATATCTGCTTACTTATCTAGGATCAAGGGCTCACCCTTTCTTCTACGGATTCATCTACTTAAGACTAAAGAACTTCCCCAAACCTTTGCGTCTGTTACCCTTGCTGCTGAAGCCTCTGCCTCTATCTATCCTTGTTAGATCACGTAGATTCGGAGAGATCAAAGGAGCATGAATGGCTACTCAATTCAGTTTCCTTTAGGAGTTTAGCATATGATGCTATGCTGCTGCTTTCTCTTCAGTTGCCTATCCCGCTATTGGTGATGGCGGTGCAACTCGTGCTGCTTAAACGAATGCTGGTGAGTAAACAGGTTCCGGTTCAAATGCATCTGGCTAACTAGCCACCTTTCACGCTGCTCCTGTTACCACCTCTGCTTATATTGCTATTGAGAGTGCAGGTTCTAGATCAACAGATTCAACTGCAATTGCTGCTGACTTTGTATTTGCTACTGATGCTGGGAATCCCGCTACTCAATCTGTAATGGGATCTCCTGCTCCCCGTGCTTCGGTCACACTCTATATGCGATTGGAAAAAGAAGTTG